GTAGGAGAGTCATTAAATGTTCTTAGATGACCCAGTGAGTTACAAAACAAAAAAGTTAAAGAGGCATTATGGAGCTTTCTATTGATATGCTGCCTTTGGTCAAAAACAGAACTGCAACACTCTTCTGCTCGTTCTCTGAGCTCCCGATTGTACTTGACAAGGTTTTTTGTTTTTTCACCTCACGTGGAGATGCTGTTGGTTTCTGAGTTGAGATGGATGGCAGTTGTTTGTGAGTTTCCACAAAATATCTGAATATAACTTGAATATAACTCTTAGATTGTTTGCTAGGTCTGACCCATTTAACAACAGTGGGGGCGACAGTGGCATTGGCTGAAGGAGTTTGGCCTGCAACCGGAAGGTTGTCGGTTTCATTGTTGTTGTATACTTGGGCAAGACACTTCACCCACATTGCCTATTGATGGTGGACGGAGAGACCAGTGGCACCAGTGTACAGCAGTACTCGCTTCTGTCACTTAGCCCTTTAGCGAGCATGCGCGTTTCCTGTCTCTTGCATGGTCATTTGTGCCGCCTGCACTGTGCAGAGATGCAGGGGAAACCTTATCTGATGGACAAAAGCAGCTCTACGTGGCGCTTCCTGCTGTCGGTTAGTCAGAATGACAATTCTCCATGTATCACGTGTCTTTTCGCAGAAACTTACCACGAAATGTGAAGAATTGTCTCGTACGTGAGGAGAGGCTGTTTTGTATGCAAGCAGAGATCGTTTTGTACACGGGGACAATTTACAAATTATATTTTCAGTGCAATGTCCGGTTTGTAAAACTAATTTTAGTGTGTGTGCAACATTTAAGGACAGTTTGAAAAAAGAGTTTTATTTGTGTGTGACATTAGAGGACAGTTTGTAACACAACTTTTATTTGTGAACGATAAGATTCATTTGAGTGCAACATGCTTTTGTAAATGATAAAGATTTGTTTGTGTGAAACATGCTTTATGCATTTGAAACATGCTTTATGTGTGTGCGCAACATGCATTTCAGTGATAGTCTGGGGAGGCATATCCATGGAGGGACGCACAGACCTATACAGGCTAGACGACACTCTGACTGCCATTAGATATCGGGATGAAATCCTTCCATATATACAAACCTTAATGCTGCAAGGTAGCAGTTCTACCCACTGCTGCATTGTGCAGCCCACTCTAAATACATAAACCTGAAAATGATGCATTTCACATAAATAAGTGTTATTAAAATAACAAATATATTCCATATAAGGTTTATTAAATATGTTGTCTGTTGAAAATTATATAACAAAGTATATGAGAAGTTGATATGTAACTAAATAACATAAATCTTAAAATTTGGATGATATAAGTGTATGGAATTCCCCAAAAAACCAAGTTAAACATTTAGCACTTATTTTTTTTCTTTAAAAAAACGTTGCTGTGTGGACTTCCACCTCTCTACCTGCCTTGTTGCCTAATAGGGTGAACGCCACATAAAGTTTATAAAACCTGACCAAGACTTCAGAGAAACATGTCTTCTACTCCAAGTAACAACAGGTGCAAAAAGATGTTTGTTCCCAGAAGAACTACATTGATGGTCTCTCATGTCTGTCACATGTGCTCAGTCTAAACCTGCTTTGATCCATGAAGAGCACAGGGCACTAATAGGAAATCTTCTGATTTTGGTGTTCCATAGCGTCCTACCTGAAACTGCTGGCTAAAGATAAGGTTAAATACAGTAAAATTAGGTATTTAAGTATTTAACGCTGGTGGTAATGACACCCGTTTCACCTATTGGAAGTCACTACAATTAGTGCTCCATGAGTGTGTAAGTTTGCCAAAACAATGTCAGACAATATATTTTTTTTCTGGTCCCCTCCCTGATCTGATCAGTGATGACATGTTTAGCTGCATGTCCTCATTCAGCCGCTGGATGTCTAGGTGGTGTCCTGAAAAAAACGTTGGCTAAATTCATAATTGGCAATCTTTTTGGTAAAAACCTGGTCTGAGTCGAAGAGACGGCATCCATGCAATTTTGGATTGAGCAGCTCGTCTTTGTGTACAAATTTATTAGTCTTCAAAAAACCCTGACAACCCAGGGTGCAGACTAGGAAGCAGAGTTGTAGGTTAACACACCTCTCTGTAGCTTTTCTACTGTTACCCACTCATTATTCCATCCAGTGTTTTGCCCCTGACCAAAATCAAATAAGTAAGAAAAGAATCCTAAAGGAGTACATCATGATCATCTTATTAAAATAAAAATAACTCAAATTGAGGGAAAAGGTAAAAATAGTAAATGACGTGCATTTAAATTAAAATCACTTTCTTCAAAAAGTCTGTTAGTTAGTTATTTGATTGTAATAATTTGGCTTTGTTCAAAATGTGAGTACTCCCACACATTCTTATCTTCATATTCTGGACCTCGTGCTGACATATGGCACTGAATTCGAAAATATAAAAGTATTTCCTCACAACCCAGTCCTCTCTTACCACTTTTAATAACCTTCAGGAATACTTTAGCAGAGTTATCCTCCCTAAAAGAAAATTTCAATCAAATGATAGATCTTTATCAGATAATGCAGTTATAAATGTTGAAGAACCTGTTTCACTTTGTTTCTCCTCTGTTTAACTGAGCGTTGCTGCAGAGAGCAAACATTTAGTTTATTCCCTTTCACAGATTAAAGATTTTCTTGATGTTGTTAACAGTTCTCTGCATACTGCCTTAGACAACATAGCCTCTTTGAAAAGAGGAAACTTTAAAAATAGAAAGCTGGTTCTCAGGTTTGATGCAGAGCTGTGCACATTGAAGAAAAAATGATAGAAAACTGAAGAAACCACTCTACATGCCAACTGGAATCCATTCTAGTCTTGAAAAACAGTTTACTGCTGTGTAAGATGGCGTAAAGCCAACTTCTATTTTAGTTTTCCCTCTGATTTTAATCTGCATTTTAGATGTGATTAATTTATCCCTGTTACAGCCATATGTAACTCAGGCTTTTAAGGTAGCTGAAATTAAACCTTTACTTAAGTAACCTTCTCTGGACCCAGATTAATTAGTCAATTTTAGGCCTATATCCAGTCTTCCTTTCTTATATAAAATTCCTAAGAATGTGTGACCACTTACATTATGAGGAACTTTTTGAGATCTAAATCTGGTTTTAGATCTCAGGCCTTCATTTGATACACTTATACAGTAATATTCTTTTAGAATGACTTATATATCTTATAGGGATTAAAGAAATAGCACTAGGCTAGTCAAAGTCTTATTTTCTCTGACAGATTTAGTTTTACGCGAACGATAAATCTTCATGCTCCAGGGTTACCAATGGAGTACCCCAGGGATCAGTACAGATCTTTTAGTTATCAGGCTCCTCTCCTATGGAACCAACTACCAGTTTAAGTGTGTGAGACAGACACCCTGTCTACCTTTAAGGCAAGGATCAATTTTTTTTCTTTCTAAAAAAGCTTATAGTTAGAGTGACTCAGGTTATCCTGGTCTGTCTGTATAGTTATTCTGCTATAGGCTTAGACTGCTGGAGAACATAAGGAACACTTTCAATCATTCTGGTTTGTTATCTCTCGATTCTGCCATTCTATAGTATTTGTTAGTTCAATCTCTAATGTTGTGCTCTCTCTGCTGTTTCTCATTATAGTATCTTCATCAAGTCCACTCCCGTTTTGCTGTGACACCATCGCAGAGATTCATATCAGCTGTGCTGCTGCCATCAACACCTTTGTTTATAACTGTTGGTACTTGGACAGTTTTTTTAGTGTAGTCCTGTTTCTCTTACTTTGACTAACTGTATGATACATTTGTTTCATCACAGATTGAGGGGAACATAGTACATAGAGGTAATGGTAAATCAAAATAAAGAATTTATTTGTTGAAGCAATCAGAGAAATTATAACTGAAGGCTCAAGAGTGATGCTTATACCTTCTGAATATCATGCTCTCAATATGATGTGGGAGATAATCATAGCTTAAAAAGTATTTGTTGTTATGCAGAATGAGAACAATAATCATGTTCTCTCAGAACAATTATTCAATCTCTCACTTGAGTGATTATCGAGTGTCTGTCGTTATTTGATTGAAAGCCATGGTTATATATAGGCTACATATATTCAATCATATTTTGATCACGGATTTAAAGAACTACACATTCTCTGCACATTTCATTTTTCTGTGAGTTTTTTTTTTTTTGCACTGCCTAGGATAACAGACACAGAAAGGCAAGACAAAGGAAGTTTATTAATACGACACATTTGAGTAATAATATACTTCAAAGTATGTAGATAAAAAAAAGAAAAGTACAACACTATAGCAGTACCAAATCAGTACAGTACCATGATATCTAAGTAATTTTCAAAGTTTATCAATTAGTAGGCTGTGAGGTAACACCGTTTTTAGCATTGCTGCCCTGTGGCAATAAGGTCCTCGGTTCAAATCCTGATCTAGGATCTTTCCTCATGGAGTTAGACAGTTCTCCATGCATGCCTGGTTTTTCTCTGTTGCTTTCGCTTCCCCCCACAATAAAAAAAAAACAATAAGGTGAAGTTAATTGGTAACCTGAAACTGCCAGTGTGCATTAATGGTTGCCACGTGTCACGTTCCCCTGTGATGGACTCATTTCCAGTAAGCTTGAGATAGGTACTAGCCCACATGAGTTTAATGGACAAATGGAAGACGGTTTGATGTTCAGATCAACTTTGCATAAGAGCTTAAACTTTTTTCACTGTCATTTTTAACTCAAAAGCTGCTATGTTTCTCCTTCTGATGTGCTAAAACAAACATGCTAACCAGTATTTTGGCAAGAATTTACAGATAATTTAAAAAGTGTTGTTATTTTGATACTTAAAAATATAATACCATTTACCCCAGGTTTCAAGATTATAACTAAAAATTTGCAGAATGCTTGTAAAATACAAACAGATGGGACTGTGATTATGTTGTGAAATTTATCTCTTAAAAGCTTTCTCAAAAAAAACAATCATGTTAAAAACAAAACCTTCACATTAAAATCAAAACATCAAGGTGCTTATGTTTGAGTGGTGAAGGCTGGCTTTAAAGAATACATTGTGTCCGCGATGTAGGCACTCAAGTTAAAAGAGGACAGAACAGAGACAACAACAAGATAATTCCAATAACAGTACAGAGAGCAAGGATTTGGTCTGGCAAAGTTCCGAAAGCAGTAGACAGGCCAGATGATGACAGCTGTGATGTACATCAACACGGCCAGCACATTGCAGACTATCAGAACTTTGTTAAAAGTTTCAGGAAAGCGGCCTGGCAGGCGAACAATAGCTAAAATAATGACAAGGAAGGAAAAAATAAAACAAATGGAGTAGACAGCAACACACCACTTGAGACCTGAAAAATATGAGTAGGGAGTGAAATACAAACAGATGAAGATGATACAGGCCATAAAAGCCTCCAGAACTTTGAGCTGGCCAGGCACAGTGGAGAGAAACCCACTAGTTTCACTAGATTGGGCACGAATCAGTTTCATCTCAACAGAATACAGCATGATTGTCAGGGAGGAGACTGTGCTGGCACCAATCTGTCTGCCACAAGTAGTACAGGCGTGGAAGGTGGAGTAGATCACCGTTGCTGAGAAAACCTGCATGGATGATATTTTAAATCAGAAGCTTCTTGGTCACAGAATACGGTTTAATCTCTTAAGCATTAAGTTCAAATTAAATATACTTTGTATAACCTTTGACTAGAAAAAGATATATGGGGTATGATATATGCTATGGAGTTGAAAACTAAAATGAGCCACATAACTTGATTTTAGTTATGGCATTACATCTAGCAGAAATTGTTAATATAGTAAAAAAATTTAGTTCAAATTTTACATACATTGACTTTGTGCTTTTAAAATAAACTTCTTCACCATTTTCAATTTCGTTTTGCTATATCTTTTTCATTCAAAGGATTATTGTCAGAAATATTTTAATTCTACATTTTTCCTGTTTCAAAATTTGTTTCAACAATAGATTATTTTGTATTATGTAATGTGGACTTATTAAATTACCGACAACAGTGAGGATCCTCTATAGAGGAGTTTTGAACGAACAGTGAGTGTCTTTAGCAAAAGGCTTCTCCAGGTCTGGTGCAAGACAGACCGCTACAGAAAATCCTTCCTGCCTACAGCTATCAACACCTAAGACACCTGTTTAAAAAAAACAAGTTACTGCATTGATTTCCCTTTGAGATCAATAAGAGTATTGTTTAATTCAATTG